ATAGACCAAGACATCTGAAAACGCAATCTGGTTTAATACAGAAAGCCATAGAACTGAAGAAAGAATTACAAATCGATGACAAACCAAAAAGCCTCTCTCTCCATGAACCCATTATCAGACACTGATGTAGTGTGTTGCACCCAACTGCTCGACTTCTTCAGGAAATCAAACACTCCTTCATAGCAAATGCGCTCACTGGCCCTTGAGACAATCAATGCCTACTATCCTGGAGATCAATGGTTCCAATTCTTCACTGATGGGTCATACATAGAAAACCAAGCAAGCGTTGGTGCAGGTGTCTATTCTGAACTCTTCTCTTTCTACGCAGCAGCGGGACATAATAGATCCGCTTTCGAACTAGAAATAGAGGCCATTAGGATAGCACTATGCCAATTATGTTGCCTGGATACGAAATTCACCAAAGCGGTGATACTTTCGGACTCACAGTCAGCAATAAACTCAATTGGAAACAGAGAGCCACCCAAAACAGCTGAGATAAAGGAATGTAGAAAACTCTATGAGCTGTTGAGAGAGAGAAACAAAACAGTGGTTCTCCAATGGTTTTCTGGTCACTGTGGCATTAAAGGTAATGAACTTGCTGACACACTTGCTAAGAAGGGGACAGCGATTTGGCAATGCATGGACCGGCCGATGTCTTTCCACACAATGAAGGCCTTAATCAGAAGAGAATTCCAGACCTCAAGGTGCAACAAACTTAAAGCTCGAACAAAGGAGAAACAGTGGACAGTGGCACTCTCCGACATACCCAACTGGCCAAGAATCGAAGCCGTTGCTGAGTTTAGACTACGTACCGGACACGATTGTTTGGCAAAACATCTTCACAGATTGGGAGTATACACTCAACCCACATGCCCTCTATGTAACCTACAGGAGGAAATGGAGAAGACCCATCTGATTCGGTGTCCAGCCCTAAAGACAACGACGGAAAGCCAGAGATACTGGGAAGCAAGAAGACAGCTAATGAATTGCTATTAATTAACTGCTATAAATATACCCCCCCCCCACCCTTGGGGGAAGCTGAAGACAAAGTTTAAGGGCTAATGATAAATATCACAAAGCCTGCCATTTGAAATAAATAAATATATAGATCGAGCGCAGATAGGCAAATATCAAATTTTAAGTTTCCCCTAAGGAGAAGTTACAGCAAATGTTGGCAAATTCCGAATAAGGTGCTGCTTCGTAATGTGGTCTATTGGCGTAGAAGTATTTAAATTCAAACCATGTTTTTTTATCCGACGAAGTAACCTAAGCGTTTTTCTTTGTGGCAACTGAGAAATTTTCAAATTATAGCTTTAACCGAAAATGGGTGGGGTCAAACAAGTGCAGAAATAGCTTGTGCCTAATGAAAGAAGATAGTCAATTGGTGCTTAAAAATGATCTGTTTATCCTACACATCCAGACTAATTAGATACTTCCTAAATTGCTAACAAAAAACTATTTTTGACTTACAGTGAGTGAATACAGCATTCTTAGCTTTTCTACGCTACGCTATCTCATCTCCAACATGAAAAAAAATGAAGAAGCGAATATCGCAAACGATTATTTTGCTTTCACAGCCGCTGGAATAATTATGAAATCAATTTATTTATTAAAATGCGCTTTACATGCCCTGGACAACGTGATAAGCACTTGCTTTTGTTCAGGTATGGAAGGGTCAAATATATGTGTCAGAATATCAGGTGTCCGTTAAGAAAATTATATGAATTAAGTCTCCTTGATACTGCGGTGATGATATCGGTATTCTTTTGATCTCTTACTCTTTATTGTTTTAATAAATATAAGTCGCTCCTCTCCCCTCCATTTAAACTGTCACGAATGAATTAAAATTACTATCTGTGATGCCGAGGCATAGTTTCTTATGGTATATTACCTTTATATACAATTTTATAAATTACCTAGAATTGTAACTTATTCATTCTATTTTATACGTTTCGGAACTACCGGTTTTGTTTAGGATAATATACCTGAAATCAATATACTTTTAAATAGAATACTCGTAAGTGTCCTTTCCTAATCTGTCTTCAGTAAAACAACAAATTTATTTTAAAAAGATTTTACTTTTACTTTTAGGTCAGAAAGAGATAGTTATTTCTCTATGTTTTGACAACATGATATTTGACGTGACTTTTTTGTGTATACTTCGATTTTTATTGATTAAAACTAGTGAAATATGGGAAAGCTGCTTCGCTCGAACTTCGCCAACTGCTAAGGCATTTAAAAAGTCCTTCATATTTTATTAAATCCAAGAGTTGAGTGGTTTCAGTATGACCAAAAGTGTTATCTCTGGAAGAGATGAACTCCTCTATGAGACAAATACGAATTGCGCAACAGAATGTTACTTTTCATCCGAATCTTAGGTTAACGATTCCGTAACTGTCATGTATTAGGTCATTTGGGGGAGGGGAGTAGATGACGGGCTACCTTACAATCACTGCGGCAAATTCAATCTCATTAATTGAATAGCTCTAAATTATAAATCGAGAGTGGTTAACGGGCGCTTTCGCAATGAAAAAATTGATACGGACTGAAATTCGTCCGTCGAAAAGCAATAGTGCTCTGAAATGCCAGTCTGGAAAAATATTGATTCCTCTGACGCATCAGACCATAATCACGAACTTTAATTTATAATTTCAAAATTAGAGTGAATTTATTTGCTCGAAAAGATTTATTGCAATATAAGTACCTTTATAAAATCGAAACATTTATCCAAATATCTAAATTAGATTGTCTCATATCAACGAGTTTATGAGTTTAATTTTGTTCTTCCAAATGAGATCATAGAGCAACAATGACTAGATTTGTTCCATTTTAAAGTGATCATTAACAATTAATATAAGTTTTGTAAGAATAATGAAATCTACTTTGCTGTTAAAGTTACATTCTCCGAACCGAGCTTTTTAACCACGATTTTCAAAATTGGTAGAAAGAATGACAATATATAGAATTTCTTGAAGATAAAAATTATTCCATTTCTTGTAGCATTCGATATATCATAAGAATTAACGAGGTTTTTCATCTCGATTTTGCGAAAAGTGTATGACAATGAACAGCAATTCATTATACGTATTTGAAAACAGGGCTACCTTTACTGAACCACAACACAACATACAAAAATAATCTAATGAAATTCAAAAGGAAAGTAAACTGGGAATTAAATGTTACAAAGTGAGGAATGAAATCTATGAGTTATGTGGTTGAGTATTAAAATATTTTTAAACTAATAACAGTGAAATTTTATTTTTAAGAGTAGTCATTTAGCTTATATAAAGTTATTGAAGCCTATGAGATTCACACTAATACGTGTAATATTTGAATGCGCTACAGAAGTAACAATCATTAAATATCAACCAATCAGCAAGTTAGCCAGTTTGGTGATATTTTGAATGAATATGTTCGCTAACTGAATTATTGTCAACTTTTTTTATAGATTAATCTCATTTATTCTTCTAAGATGGATGACAAAAATGCAAAACGATCCACAAACAATCTTGAGATATCACCACATCATGATCATGTTGCGTGGGCTGCAAGAAGATTGCGTATTGGTGAAAATTCGACCCATAACGATCGAAATATTTCGCTTATTGACGAACCTAGTACTATGAATCATGTGGCTTCGGAATTCTCTTTTGTTAATTATGTCCGCAATCACTTTAGTAAACATGATTTTAAGTTGAAAAGGAATAAAAAAGCAAAATTGAAATCTCTTCAAAAAAGTGGTCCGGATATTCCACTTTCCACTTCTTCGCCAGCTGATGAACCCCAGAATCTCGAAAAATCAAAATGCTTTTCAGCATCTGATAGTATGGTCCAATTACGTGGTGGAATTCTCAGGAATTACCAAAATATTATTAGAATGAATGATAATTCCTCTTCTTCTTCGTCATCCACTTCAAGCTCGTCCTCCACCTCTGATAGCAGTTCCTGCTTGGACTCCTCAGAGTTTAGTGGTGAATATTCACGTAGTATAACAAGGGAAAGTGATTCATCTTCCGACTCATCGACTGAATCTGAGTCTGAGTTGAGTCCCCCTGAAGCGCCAGATGGTGGTTGGGGTTGGATAATTGTATTCGCTACTTTTTTCATTCAAATGATTGACGACGGTGTTGCCGTCTCTTTTGGAATTTTCCTCGATGACCTAGCAGAGGAATTCGGTACGTCATTAAGTGTCGCTTCCTGGGTTGGTGCCTTCGGATATGGAATTCCCTGTCTTGCTGCCCCACTAGCTTCAATGCTGATAAATCGATTCCAGTGTCGAAGAGTCTGTGTTGTCGGTGGCCTCATAAGTGCAGTTGGCTGTGCTCTTGCCTTTTTTGTCGATTCAATGATTGGTCTTGTTCTCACCTTTGGTATTCTTGTTGGCTTTGGTGCAAGTCTTTCGTCCACGGCAGCACTCATAATCGTCTCGCTTTATTTTGATGATCGCCGGGCTACCGCTACGGGGTTATCAATTGCGGGTTCTGGCGTTGGATCATTTGTTTTTGCTCCTCTTGTCAATTACCTCATTAGCATTTATACTTGGCGGGGAGGAATGCTTGTTCTTTCGGGTATTTTCGCTCACATTGTAGTTTTTGGGTGCTTGATGCGTCCCATTGAAACTGGTCGACAAAGACGAAAGCGTCAACTCCTCTTGAGAATGGAAAACTTTGCAAAGGAGTCAGGTTTTAAGTTGCCCGAAGTCTATCTCAAAAGTGAGGAGGAAAGTATTGATCGACGAATTCATCTACTTCGAAAACTGCTCACTAGCCCACAGCGTCACAGCTCAGTTTCCTCGGATTCAAACTCGACTAGCTCTCTTGTTATCACTTCCAATAAGGGACAAATTGAAGAATCGATTTTATTGAAGGAATCTAATGTAGAGAGACAACTCATACCACCACGACCTGTCCTTCTTGATCTCGCACCCAATTCAGCTGCAACAAATATCTGCAATGCTCTAGCTCTTATTCAGCCTGTTTATGGTCGAACTAAGCGTTCAATCTACCACTGCTCGACTGCAATTCAATCTGTAACTGAGAGCCAAATTCGAACCGCCCTCAGTATGCCTGACCTCCAGGGTTCAACCTCATCTCTAATTTCCTCAGAAAGTTCGTTAGCTTTCACTCCTTTGGGTCGTATTCGTCAGCGCTTCAATCGCGGAATTCGGCAAGCGAGGCGGTATCTCCGATCTGCCATTGACCCATCAATGTTTGAGAGCCTATCCTTCAATCTCTTCCTTATCTCCACGTTGAGTTTGTTCTTTTGGTGCAATGTTACTTACTTCTTCATCACAATATATGCTAATGATCATGTTGGAATCTCGAGTCGATTGGCGGCTATGCTTCTGGCCATCATGGGAAGCTCGGATATGGTGGGTGAGATTGTCTACGGATGGGCAGCCGATCAGAATTGGTCAAATATTCTCTATCTCTATACCTCTGGTGTTATGGTCTGTGGTCTTGCTACCATGCTTGTCCCACTTGCTACTTCATTTTGGTCCCTCGTGCTCTATAATCGTAAGCTTATTCGTTGTATCGCTTGCTATTTATTGCATTGTTGCAATTAGCCACAAATATGTTCGCAGGTGTTGTGGTTTAAAACCCATTTGCTTGATTAGACTGTAAGTGAAGTCTGCAATGTCTTTTTCCAATCCGACTGTTGAAACCATAGTGGGCGAATTTTTATACTTATTTTGATTGGCCAGGGAAGAATGCTACAGTCGCTGCAAGGGATTGATTTTACGTCTCCTGTGTTTGGATATTGAAACAGTCAGTGAATTTTGGTTGTTTCAACTACCAT